GCCTCCACGGCTGCCCTGGTGCTATCGGGTGTGGACACCACCCTCGGAGAGGCGCCCTTCCCCCCCCTGCCAGAAGACCCCGGGGGTGGAGGGCAGGATGGGACCTCACCCCCTTTCTGGGGGACGAGGAAGAGGTGAAGTGACCAATGAAAGCTGCATTCCCAGTGACTCAGTCTCTTCCTCTGTGACCCCTACTCCCAGCGGTCCCCAGGCTCCTGCCATGCGGGGTTCCCAGGCCCGGGACGCCACTCGAATCCTCTGCCAGGTTGCGTCACCTCGCTCCACCCGCCTGACACCTCGGCACACCTGCCCGGTCCACTTCTCAAACAGCAAAACAGGCACACACTCCAGCACCCACGACCCGCCACGGCGCAGTCACGCGCATTCCTTACACAGACGCCTGGGCTCACGCTGCCCTGTCCCCAGTGTCATGGGTTCGCCAATACACTGCAGCCACACACACCAGTCTTGGGTACCCTGACCTCGACGCCCCGGTGCTATGAGCCCCAGTGTGCCGGTGCGTGCTAGGGCAGGGCGGTGGAGGCGCGTTCACGCGAGCGCACAGGAGTCCCTCGGAGTGGACAGGGAGGCCGGCCGGGAGGGGGCCGAGCTCCAGGAAAGGCGCGCCCGGCCTCTCCCCGCGGCGCGCAACTGGATGCCGGAGTCCGGGCCCAGCGGGCAGAGCCCGACCCCGCCGGGGCCCCTCCTGCCCGCCATTGCTGCTGTCCGAAGGAGACACCCTCCCCCCCCATCCGGTGGATAAAAATAGCCGTGCGCAGGCCTTGGGAACCGTAATGGGAGCCACATGTTGGCCAGATGTGCCCGAGACACCGCCAGGAATGCGGAGGGCCCCGAGCGCCAGCCGGCCCCGCCCCATCGACCAGACGGGCCCGCGCGCGGGGAGGCAGAGTTTACTTTCTCGCGTTGCCCAAAGTCGTGTGCAAGGACGCGGTGGCCCGGGCCACACGTCCCTCCCGGCCCGCCCTCAGTGAGTCTGCGTCTGCGCATGGATGGAGCCCCGGGTCGGGGACTTCGGGGTCCTCTGCATCACCTGAACCTGGTGGAGAACACGCGTCAGGGCTGGGCCCGCCCCGAGCCGCCCCTCCCACCCGGGGCGCACCCCACCCACCTCCAGCAGCTGGCGCTTTGCCCTCTCGCACTTCAGCTCCTCCCGGATGTCGCTCAGCTTCCTTCTGCGGACACCAGGCCCAGGTGAGGGGACGGGGGCCTCGCCCTCCACGCCCGCTCCCTGCCCCTGCCCCTGCCCCGCCCACTTACTCCAGCTGCGCTCGCATCAGCTCCAGCGTCTTCCTGAGAGACGCCACCTCTCGCCGTAGCGTCGCTATGGCGACCGTATCACCCTGGCTTTCCGCGGAACTTTGCGGAACCCGGGAATGGAGGGCGAGAGACTCTTGGGGGTCTTGTGTCGGCTTGACAGAATGTGGGTATTTGGGGGCAGGGGCTATCTCTTTAGGGGGCACCTGCTTTTTGGGAGCCGCCTCCTCTTTCGAAGGTGTCTCCTCTTTGGGGGGCGCCTCTTCTTTAGGGGTGGCCTCCTCTTTGGAAGGGTCCTCCTCTGAGAGGGCTGTAGCCTCTTCCTCGGGGCGGGGTTTCTCAAGGGCAGGCCCGGCCTCAGGATTAGACCTGGACTCAGACTGGAGTGAGGTGCTGTTTCCCCCAAGCAGGGGGTGCACCCACATACAGAGGCGTCTCTCACAGGGATCATGCTGGAGTAGGGGCTCCTCTGGCATGTGTACCTGCTCTTGGGACTGAGGCTCTTTGGCCACGAGGGACTTGACCTTCTGCAGGGTTTCCTCAGGAAAGAAGTGGTGGCACTGAGGATTGTCCCTGATGGACACCTCTTCTTCAGAGAACACCTGCTTTGAGGTCAAGACCTTTTCTAGGATGGGGGTCTCAACCCCTGGAGGGGGAATCTTTGGGTCAGGGACTTCATCCTTGGGTGAGACTTCTGGGGCAGGGGGCTCTTCCACAGATAAGATCCTCTCTGGAGTGGAGGCCTTGTCCTCCAGAGTCAGGGTCTTCTCTGGGATGGGGACTTGGTCAGGAGTCGGGATCCTCTCGGGGGTGGGGTTCTCTGGGGTAGAGGCCTTGTCCTCCAGGGTCAGGGTCTTCTCTGGGATGGGGACGTGGTCAGGAGTCGGGACCCTCTCGGGAGTGGGGATCTCTAGGGTCGAGGCCTTGTCCTCCAGAGTCAGGGTCTTCTCTGGGATGAAGACTTGGTCAGGAGTCGGGATCCTCTCGGGGGTGGGGTTCTCTGGGGTAGAGGCCTTGTCCTCCAGGGTCAGGGTCTTCTCTGGGATGGGGACGTGGTCAGGAGTCAGGACCCTCTCGGGGGTGGGGCTCTCTAGGGTAGAGGCCTTGTCCTCCAGGGTCAGGGTCTTCTCTGGGATGGGGACTTGATCAGGAGTCGGGATCCTCTCGGGGGTGGGGTTATCTGGGGTAGAGGCCTTGTCCTCCAGGGTCAGGGTCTCCTCTGAGATGGGGACTTGGTCAGGAGCTGGGATCTTCTCGGGCCTGGGGGCCTTCTCTGGAGATGGGATCTTCCCTGAGTTGGTGGTCTTGTCCAGAGTGGGTGTTCTGCTCACAGAAGGGGCCTTTGCCAGGCTGGCCTGCTTGCCCTCCTGCAGTGATGGGGGTTAAGTCTCAGCTGAGTTGGAGTCTGGTTCCCCTCAGCCTGGGATCCTTCACCCTCGCACCTCGCACTCTGGGAGCCAGCCTCTGCCCAGTCTCCCCAGTCTCCCAGCCTCCTGCCTCTTACCTGACTGGATGCAGCATGTTGCCGAGGAGCCTGGGTTTTGAATCGCTTTCTGCCAAGGTGGTTTCCCGCTGGGGAAGCTTTTCCACTGGAGATGCTGCCATTAGTGCCTATGAGAGCAGAACCTCAAGAACCCAAGCCTACTCTGACCCTCAGTCTCTTCTCACCTCTGTCCCTCAGCACAACCACCCGAAGCCTGTCCTCTAGTCCTCCCAACTGGAGGAAGGCAGCCCTTACCTGAGTCTCGGGAGGGGAGCTTCTGACTGTCCTTGTTGGGTGTCCAAGATGTCCTAGAACACATCCCCATCAGGGCCCAGAGCAGGGGGTGGGGAGTGGGGAGGGGCATTTCCTTTTTACCCCCCTTCTTCCCCCAGCCCCACCCTGCTCCTTACTTGGCTTTGGTGGGCCCAGTGGGGGCTGTCACCAGCTTCTTTACTGTAGGGAGGGATGTTTTGGGCACCAACTTTTTTGGTTCCTTAATGGCAGCTGAGAGAAGAGAGAGGTGTGAAGCATCTGTTCATCCATCTAACAGCTGCAGGTCCTGCCCTGCGCTGTGCACAGGGGACCATGGACAGGACATGAATCTGACCGTCACCTTGTGCCACATGGATCTAGAGGACAGTGGGGTACCCCCCCCAAAAGGACACCTAGCAGACAGTTGTCAGAAGCTTTGTTGGGGAGATGGCCCCATATCCCGCCTGGTTTTTATCCACACATTTCTAAGCCTTGACCCTTGTTCAGTGCCCGTGGCACCACATCTCTTCCTGCCCCCTCCACCTGCCCCGAAGTCCTTTACTCCCTGAGATTGCACCCAGTTTTATGGCTTTAATTATCACTCATAAGCCAGCAACTCCCGAATTTTCATCTCTAGCCCATTCTTTTTCTCTGAACTCCAGACTGCCCTCTGTGTTCCACTTGGAGCGCTCACTGGCATCACACACACATAACAGATCCAAATCCAGTCTCTGGCTTCCCAAGCCCCGCCCCCTTGACTCTACACTTTGCCTGTGTTCCCCATCGCACCCGTTTAACACACTTGCTCGGATGGCAGAAAGACTCCTTTTATTCCCTATGCTGCACATCCTAACCATCAGCACATCAGCAGATCCCATCTGCTCGACTATCCACACAATTCCCGAATCCCATTACTTGTCACCACCTCTACCACCAAGTGACAGCCTCCAACCTGGGCTTCAGCCTCCCCACCCCCACCCCTAGTGTGTTCTTCCCACAGCAGCCGGAATGAGCTCACGTTCTACTGGGAAGCAGATATAAATAAAGGAAGTAAAATCCGTGGTGTGTCAAAGAGTTATTAAGTGTGACTGACAAGAATAAGCAGGGGAGTGTACAGTTTTAAATGGGGTGGTCAGAGAAGGCCACACTGAAGTGACAGTGAACACCCAAAGGCAGTCACACACAGTAACATTCATGTCCATAGACACACAATCTCTGGTGTATGCACATGTGCTGCCATTTATTCACACACACGTTATCACATATAGATTCACCCACAAATCCGACAGTGGACAGGGGTATGGACTCTATAGCCAGGCACCATCAGGCTTTGAATTCCAGCTCCAATCCTTGCTAGCTGCGTGTAACCTGTGCTCCAGTGTCCTCAATCCGTAAGACATGGATGACAGCAGTACACACCTTGTAGGACTCTTGTGAGGTTCGAGTGACTTAACACATATGAGACTGGTAGACAGTGAAAGATAGTGAAAGTTAGCTCTGATTTATTCTATGGCTGATGAGGTGTCTGTCTGTAGGGCCCTCTCACTAGAAAGCAATTAGGACACAGTTTAGGACACAGCTCTGAGGAACTGCTGGACTGATAAGAGGTAGAGAGGTCCACAAAAGACAGGGAATTGGGGCCAGAAAGGTGTTAGGAGGGCCTTCTGCTCTGTGGCTACTGAGCCTGGGACCTGGGATGTGGAGCCAGGGCCCTGGGCTCTGCTCCTCGGTGCACCAAGGTCCGAGCTCACTACCACACAGCAGTGTCACCTGGTGCCACCTCTCTTCAGGAAGACTGACGTGGTCTCTAGGGGTTGGCATTTTCTGGCTACTGGCAAATGCACTCTGGAAGAAACCCATGGGAGTCTTGTAGGGGAATACTAAGATCCAGTCATGAGCTCATAAGCAAAGACCATCAACTGCCCAAGAAGGCAGGTCACCAAGTGTGGGAGCCAGCAGACACCAGACACTGGAACTGTCAGGCAGAGAACACAGCATCGCCATGTATAAGATATTTGAAGAAATTAAGAATGGGCATGCAATGAAGGGCCATCAAGAATAAACAGGCAGATTTGGAAAACAAACAAGTAAACAAAAAGAAAACTGAACTACTAGAGATGAAAAACAGCATTCTTGAAAAGAATGCAACTCCATTCTTTGCATGTACATGTTCATTACTTACATGTACAGGTGAGACGGGAGAGTAAACACAGCCCCAGAGCCAGAGAAAGAATCAGTCAGCTAGAAGTACAGAGATAAGGAACAATCTACCAGAAGGAACGGATACCGGAAGCAGGGCTTGGCTCTGGCTGAGTGAGGTGGTGGGCCAACCCTCTCCCTCACGAGGCCGCGATAAAACTGGACAAAAATGACCAAGCAACCACTTCAGTGGTAGAGAGATTGGCTGAAGGCATAAAATACAGAGGCATCTGCACCCTGACAGTGTTCTTGCCTAGGCTGCTCCTACCCTTGCCCCCTCCCCACTTGGGCCACATGGATGTTCCCCAGGGTGAAGCAGGCTATTAGGCTCAGCAGTCTCACTACCTTGGTTGAAGGCAGCTCAGAGTATAACCTTGGCCTTGACATTGGTTCCATAAATATTACACCGAAAGCACAACCAAGCCAAAAAAATTTTTTAGATAAATGGGGACTTCATCATGCCTATAATCCCAGCAATTTGGGAGGCTGAGGTGGGAGAATCCCTTGAGCCCAGGAGTTCAAGACCAGCCTGGTAAACATAGTAAGATCTTGTCTCTACAAAAAAAACCTACAATAATTAGCCAGGGGTGGTAGTGTGTGCCTGTAACCTCAGCTACTTAGAAAGCTGGGGTGGAAGGATCCCTTGAGCCCAGGAGGTCGAGGCTGCTCTGAGCTGGTATCACGCTACTGTGCTTCTGTCTCAGACACACACACAAAAAAAATCAAAATTTTTGTACATAAAGGAACACCATCAAGAAGTGAAAAGGCAACCTACAAGATGGGAAAAAATACTTGTAAATCATAGATCTGATTAGGAACTATTATCTAGAATATACAAAGAACTCCTATAACTCAATAGTAAAAAGACAACCTGATTTTCAAAATGGGCAGAAGATCCAGGCTGGGCACAGTGACTCAATCCTGTAATCCCAGCACTTTGGGAGGCTGAGGCGAGAGGATTGCCTGAGCTCAGGGGTCAAAATCAGCCTGGGCAACTTGGCAAGACCTCGTCTCTACAATAAATTAAAAAATTAACCGGGCATGGTAGTGCATGCCTGTGGTTCCAGCTACTTGGAAGGCTGAGGTGGAAGGATCACCTGACTGAGCCCAGCAGGTCGAGACTGCAGTGGCTGTGAGCATGCCACTGCACTCCAGCCTGAGCAACAGAGTGAGAATCCAACTTAAAAAAAAAAAAAGACAGTGACTACATTTGGGGTGAGGGAAGTGGTAAATAGGAAAGAAAAGGAGAACATAAACTAGAGGCAATGTTCTGGTTCTTGGGTTTGAGTGACAGATAGGCCATTAAGTTTTTTGCTTTTTGTTTTTGTTTTGAGTCAGGGTCTTACTCTGTCATGCAGGCTGGAGTGCAGTGGCATGATCATGGCTCACCACAGTCTCAGATTCTTGGACTCCAGTGATCTTCCTGCCTTAGCCTCCCAACATGCTGGTGGAGGGGTGAGCCAAGTTTCTCAATCCCCTTCTTTCTGGGACCACAGGTGTGCACTACCATGCTTGGCTAAGTTTTAAAAAATTTTTTTTGTAGAGACAAGGTCTCACTATGTTACCCAGGCTGGTTTTGAACTCCTGGGCTCAAGCAATCCTCCTGCCTCAGGCTCCCACAGTGCGGGATTACAGGCATGAGCCATCATGCCCAGCCTCATGAAGTTTTTATTTATTTATTTTTTTGAGTTGGAGTCTCACTCTGTTGCCCAGGCTGGAGTGCAGCGGCATGCTCATGGCCACCACAGCCTCGACATGCAGGGCTCAGGTGATCCTTCTGCCTCACCCTTCCAATTAGCTGGAACTACAGACAGGCACTACCATGCCTGGCTGATATTTTGATTTATTATAGAGACGAGGTCTCACCAAGTTGCCCAGGCTGGTCATGAACCCCTGAGGTCAAGCAATCCTCTTGCCTCGGCCTCCCAAAGTACTGGGATTACGGGCTTGAGCCACCACGCCTGTCCTATGAAGTTTTATAATGTACATGTTAGCCGGGCTCAGTGGCTCAGCCTGTAATCCCGCACCTTTGGGAGGCTGAGGTGAGTGGATTGCCTGAGCCCAAGGGGTCGAGACCCGCCTGGGCAACCTGGCGAGACATCATCTCTACAATAAATCAAAAATCAGCCGGGCGTGGTAGCGCGCGCCTGTAGTTCCAGCTACTTGGAAGGCTGAGGCGGAAGGATTGCCGGAGCCCAGCAGGTCGAGGCTGCGGTGGCCGGGAGCGGCCACTGCACTCCAGTCTGGGCGACAGAGTGAGACTCCAACTCAAATAATAATAATAATAATAATAATAATAATAATAATGTACATGTTATATACATTTTTGGTATGTGTACAATGTTACATTTAAAGAAAAGTAAAAGACACATAAACATAAGGACACTTACAGAGCTACTCCGTGACACACTTAAGAAAACACATGAACATACAGAGTCTCATAGACTCAGACACATAGATCTATACATTTCCTTACAAAATGAAACAAATCTATTCATGCCAAATTCTCAAGGCACACAGAGAAACATTAACACGTTAACATAAATTGAGCCACGCATTGATTTGCATACATTCCTACCAGGTTCTTAACCCACAGGGGTGGGAGCTCCTATGGGGGTACTGGACCACTGGGAGCTACAGGTGCTTATGGGCAACTGGACTGGTAGGTCTCCCAGAGAGCATCCCCCAATTCCAGGCTCCCAGTCACCCACCTGATTCCCGAGACACTGCTTTCCGTGGGACCAGCTTCTTGATCTACGCAGAAAAGAATTGCAGGCTGAGCATCCCTAATCCAAAGTCCGAAATGCTCTAAGATCCGAAATTTCTTGAATGCTCACATGATGCCTCAAGTGAAAAACTGTACACCTAACCTCATGTGATAGGTCACAGTTAAACCTTTGTTTCATGCACAAAACTATTTACAGTATTATATAAAATTACTTTCAGGCTATGTGCATACGGTGTATATGAAACATAAGTGAATTTTGTGTTTAGGTTTGGCTCCCATCCCAAGACATCTTATTAATATAATCACAAATATTCCAAAATCCAAAAATACTTCTGGTCCCAAGCATTCTGGTTAAGGGATACCCAATCTGTATGAGAATCCAAAGAGGGTCCCTACATGTCTAGGTCCACCCTCAGGGGTAACCCTCCAGGTGGATCCAGGGAGTAACAAGACCCTAGATTTTGTCCAAAACAGCCTGCCCCCTCCCCCCGAGTGCCTGGCTCTGTACTCACAGGGGGTGGTGGGAGCACAAAGTTGTCTGGAAAAACTCCTCTTCTGCCTTGACACTCTCCTTCCCACCAGCCCTTATCCTCTGTGGTCTGGGAGAGAAACATGCCAGCAGAGAGGTGAGCCTGGTCCTCCAACCTCCTTCCTTCTGGGATCCCACGGTTTCTCAACACTCCCTTCCTGGGCCCGCCCCACCCCAATGCTCTCTTACCTTTCTCAGTACTTTCACCTCATCCCCTCGGTGCAGTGCCAACTCATCTGGGGCCTCAGGCTGGTAGTCAAACAGGACCCTGCAGGTCTCAGGGTGGGAGACTGAGGAGAGGTCAGTCCACTGAAGCCAGGCCTACCCCATCAGTCAGCGGGTCCCCTCCCCCAAGTCAAAGCGCCTTGGGAGTGAGGGTGCCAGGGGACCCTTTGGCTGGGTGCTCACCTGTCCGCAGGTAGTCTGGAGGGCTGTCATATGTCAGGCTGCTCAGCTAGTCGCCACATGGGGAGGGAGGAACAAGATGAGGCTCCAGCCACCCTAGGAGGAGCTCACCACCTCTTTGCCCACTCTGACCCAGTTTACCTTGGGAGGCTGCTGGGGACCAGGGCTGATTGAAGGTGTGTCTGAGCTATCAAGGCCTGGTGGGGGACAGTGAGGTTAGGGAGGGTGCTAATTCACTGGTTAGGTCACGGGAGAGGGTCAAAGGGGTCACAGGGCCAGGATATGTAGATAACAGACTCATGTCATTGGAGAGTGTGGAATCAGGGTCACAGGGTGGAGGTCTCACTTGGGGGCCCACTGTCCAGCAACTCCACAAAGTTGGATGGGAAGGCTCCCAGTTGCCCGTTCTTCTTCCCCAGCCACCAGCCGTCCTCAATCTGGGGGGGGGGGACGCAGGGGCATCTGGTTCTGCACCAAGGGTCTCTAGAAATCGTCCGCCCTCGGTTCTGCCTGAGGTCGCCCTCCTCCCTCGCACCCTCACCTCCCCATCTCTGCGCCCTCATTATTCCCATCGCCCACACCCTCCTTTCGCCCATCCTCCTCACTCGGGAGACGTGTTCCATCGCCCTCCCTCAAACCGTCCCATCACCTTATTCCCTCACCTCCTTTATTACTTCCACAGTCTCCCCAGCTTGCAGTTTCAGCTCGTCCGCCTGCTCTGGGCTGTAGTTGAAGTTCACTTTGCACCATCTTTGGGGACCCCGAGATTTGGCGGGGCGACCTGGGACCGGACAAGCGTGAAGCAACTCGAGACGGGAGCCCCAGTCCGCCGAGCTGGAGGAGAGGCGGGCCGCGAGCTCACGCCTTAGTGCCTCAGA